TCTTGATTAGCTGGAGCCGTCTTTTCAAGAAGGGGATGTGGATGGTATGATCCCTGTGCCCTTACATATCTAAGGATTGCTTTCTATTGTTGTCATACACAAAACACAGCATGGCTTTTTTTTTTTTTTTGTCTATGCCCTGCAGCATGCAGGATCTTAGTTCCCCAACCAGGGATCAAACCCATGCCCCCTGCAAAGGAAGCACAGAGTCTTAATCACTGGACCACCAGGGATGTCCCCAACATGGCTTATTTCAAATACTTGGATCACAGCCTTCTTTTCCTCCAAATTCCACAGATACTGTATTTTTAAAGCCTTGTAGGTTGCAGTGCTTCTGAAGACAACCCAATTTTGGTTTCTCTGCTGGTAACTTATGTGTGTGCATATGTACAGAATATAAATATCATGAACTGTAAATGCACTCTCTGTCATTAAACGGCCAGAAGCTAAACTGTCTGCTCGGATATACTCAGAACTTATCCAAAATGCTAAGACAGAGAAGGAACTCTACATGAACTATGCCTATGGCAATATGACCGTTACATCAGTAATTGTGAGTCTTAAAGTGCCAGGGTAGTCAGGACACAGCAAATTACCCTGAGGCAATAATTTAAAGATTTTATTTTATTATTCTTGAATTGCTTCAAGTTATCCAATGCCATCAGAAGGAATCGTCCTACTCGACAGTTCCAGAATGCCTTGTACCATTTATTTGGGGGCATCAGCTATTTAGTTTGTTATAGCGCCGCCTTCTGGTGTACCTAGGGAAAGCAGAATGTGTAGTTTTGCTGGTATATACTGCGGGCTGTTGAGACCCGTCGTGTGAAGGGGCACACAACGGCTTTCTTCCTCATTCTGGCCAGTTGTCCATCTGTTCAAAATCTGCCCTTCCCTTAGGGCCTCTTTCCAACTGGAGCAAAAGGGGAATTTATGGAAACAGTATAGGGAAATATCCTCAAACTCTAAAAGAAGGACCAACAGGCTTGAAAGGGCAGAACAGAGCTACTTGCGGAATTTCAGTTGCAGAAATTGACAATGGATATTGTGACATTGCAACTAGGGTGGATGAGCACAAGCAACTATCTTCTGTGTTTTTGTTAACTCTGTTAAAGTTCCAGTTCCAGAGAGAGACTGTTCTGTTGGTCTCAGGTCACATTCCCACTTCTTGGCAGGAAAGCATAAAGAATGTGACAGTTCGTTGTACTGACTCAAGTGAGAAAGGCAAGTCCCCCAAATAGCGTCAGAATGCTTTTAGCCGGAAAAAAAAAAAAAAAGCTGAACTCATCCCTATTCAATTTGTAGATAAACTGCCTTTCCAAGTGGATATTTGTAAGATTCTTTGTTGTTGTTGTTGTTGTTCAGTCACAAAGTTGTGTCCAATTCTTTGCAGCCCCATGGACTGCAGCACTCCAGGCTTCCCCGTCCGTCACTGACTTCCAGAGTTTGTTCAAACTCGTGTCCACTGAGTCAGTGACGCCATCCAGCCATCTCATCTTCTATCACCCCCTTCTCCTGCCTTCACTCTTTCCCAGCATCAGGGGCTTTTCCAGTGAGTCAGCTTTTCACATCAGTTGGCCAAAGTGTTGGAGCTTCAGCTTCAGCATCAGTTCTGCCAGTGAATATTCAGGGTTGATTTCCTTTGGGACTGACTNCCATGTACAGATGTGAGAGTTGGACCATAAGGAAGCTGAGCACCGAAGAATTGATGCTTTCAAACTGGGGTGCTGGAGAAGATGCTTGAGAGTCCTTTGGACATCAAGGAGATCTAACCAGTCCATTCTAAAAGAAATCAACCCTGAATACACATTGGAAGGACTGATACGAAGCTCCAACACTTTGGCCACCTGATGAGAAGAGCTGACTCATTGGAAAAGACCCTGATGCTGGGAAAAACTGAGGGCAGGAGGAGAAGTGGGCAACAGAGGATGAGATGGTTAGATAGTATCACCAACACAATGAACATGAATTTGAGCAGTCTCCGGGAGATAATGGAGGACAGAGGAGCCTGGAGTGCTACAGTCCATGGGGTTGCAAAGAGTCAGACACAACTTAGCAACTGAACAACAACTTAAAAGAAAAATGATGCATTGTTTAATGGGAAAATTACTAAAAGGAAAAAAGGAAGAATGTCTTTATGCCTTATTTTGTTTACTTGGAATGCAGACACATTTTTAATTAATCAAACTTTGCAATAAGCCACACAAAATTTCTTTGGGAATTTGAAAGATCTGTGTTTGAACACCCCATAGGTATTATGCCAGAGCTGTACAGACATCTCCAGTTGATAATAAAAATAGAAGACATTTAACCTAAGCACCTCCATCTATGGGTGTATTTTACATCTCAACAATGTGAAAATTTTTGCCTTTGAATGTTTCCTACCCCCTTTCTTAGCTCTCCATTTGTGGTTCTAGCACTGTAAATTTTGACCTTTCGATTGTAAATTCTTCCATTGTTACAGTAATAAAAACCCACGATGATATACAAGGTATCGTGGTGTCAGACCAGCAACATTTGTTACACCTCCTCCCAAGTTCCCACAAAAGAGCTAACAAAAAGAAAAGGACTACGTTGGTAACAATACAACGGCAAGAGGAGACTCACAAAATCCAGCTGCACCACCAGTAGGGATGGACTGAGGGATAAGATGCTGGGCTTCAGCAGACTGACAGAGTCTCTCTCAGAAAGCAGAAGAGGCTCCTGCTCACTCTCACTGTCCCACATAGAAAGGCTCTGTTGACTGTGGAATAATCAGCCAATCCACCGCTGCACACAAACTGTCTTTTGACCTATTAGGTGCCAGTCCTTCTGCTCCCCCTCAGCCATTAACACCATTACACCTGCTGACCAATGGCAGCCACCATCAAGATATATGAAAGGTGGCACTTGTGCCTATGCTAAGCCAATGGGTGGCCAGGACCAGCAGCCCACTCACCGGAACACATCATACACCGTATACGCACTCAGATGGCCCTGAGTAGCCAATCCATGTGAGTAGTCAGGGATGAAGAAGATGGAAAATATCAGCAGAGGTCCAGGTGTCACTGGCATGGTACTTATTCTCTGAAAGTAGGTGAAGGTGTTAGTCGCTTAGTTGTGTTCAACTCTTTGCAACCTCATGGACTGTAGCCCGCTAGGCTCCTCTGTCATTGGGATTCTCCAGGCAGGAATACTGGAGTGGGTTGCCATTCCCTTCTCCAAGGTGTCTTCCCGACCCAGGGATCAAACCTGGGTCTCCTGCACTGCAGGTGGATTCTTTACCATTTGAGTCATCAGGGAAGAAATCTTGAATGAAGTGATTGTCTTACTTTGGTCTGCTCTATCAAATCACCATAGACTGGGTGGCTTATAAACCACAGAAATTCATTTCTCACTGTTCTAGAGTCTGGAAGTCTGAGATCAGGATACTAGCGCTCTTTCAGGTTGCAGATTGCCAACTTCTAGTTGTGTACTCACAGGTCAAAGGGGGCAAAAGAGCTTGCTGGAGCTGCTTTCATTGGGCTGGCCCAAAAGTTCATTTGGGTTTTCCTGTAACACCTTGCAGAACTTTTGGGCCAACCCAAGATAAGGACACTAATCCCATTCAGGAGGGCTTTGCCCTCAATTCCTGCCCAGAGGCCCCATGTCCTAACACCATCACACTGAGATTAGACTTTCTTTCTTTTTTTTTTTTTTTAAAAGAACTGTTTATTTACTGAACCTGGGGCAGATCAGATATACAACCAAATTTAAATTTACATCTTTTAACTCAATTTTGAAGTGTTTGCACACACACGCACATGCACACAAATTGGCATGCAACAGTTGTCCTAAAGTAAAACTCAGTCACCTTAAACAGTTGCAAGTATTTTCACCCAAGGTTGAAAAATTGTTTACCCTCAACATGAAAACCTGTAACAAATTTAATTATACAAAACTCTTTACTTGTAGTTTTCCCCTTGCAAAGATCAAAAAAAAAAAAAAGTGTAAAAGTAACCAATATACATCAGTCACAACATAATCCTGGATCATCCCCACACCAAAACCAGACGCTCGTTGATTTTTAAACCCATCATCAGAGACCAAAAGAAAGTCATTTTGTTCTATACAAACAAAATTCACATGTGCCAAAAAAGAAAGTCTCAAGAAAAACAAAAACCCTAGTACTGACAATGATGTTCAGTACCCTAATTAAACAGTGGCCAAAATGCCACTGATCAAAAATAAAATAGTGGCTGTATATCACTGCAAAGAAATCCAAGAAGCTGTAACCCTTTGGCACCGGAAATCCAGATTTTTCCAATTACATGAATGCATACCTCCTACATGCCAAGAGTACAGAAGGTGGACACGCCAGCATAGAAAGAAAAAGAGCTACTATTCGCTGAAACACCCAGAGAACTGGCTTTAACAGACTTCTCACAAGGTTAGGCAGAAACCAAAAAATGGCTATTAGCTGCTTGTGTCAACAATTTTAAGTGGAGGTGATTGAGTTCTAAGGTTCAAAGTGAAACTTTGGAGGGGTGGGTAAAGGTTGTTGGTTTAAGTCTTATCTTTAAAGCAAAAACAAGATAGACAAAATATAAAAGTACCAACCTGGTCACATACTCTGGTCACAGAGCTCTACCATCAAGCTGGATAGAAAATGTCAAGATTCAGATTGTTGTTTCTCAACAAAATGAATCTTTCTAATGACTTGAACTGCAGGATAAGGGATCCCAAGAATAGAGTCATTTTAGTAAAGTACTATCAGTAAAGTACTATCCTGAACAAACTGTATTTTATAATGAAAACAAAAGGAAAGAAAACTAAAGACTCTACACCTATATTCGGCTTACAGTGTTTGAGTTTTGGGAGGGTCTCTATAATGGAGGCAGAATTCAAATATGAATTTATGCCAATCAAATGTCAAATTTTTACTATAGCTTTCCTAAAGAAGTATTTTCCCCCCAATATCTATTAATCACAAAGAAACATAAGCTGTGAAGATACAGTTCAGAAAATAAAAACATAGAAACTAATGACATTATTATGACCAAGATGTTTGGTAAACAGTGAATTATGAATTTGGGATTATGGGGAAAAGGCTTTTAAACAACCCTCCGGACTTCGAAGAATCTCTTCAGGTAGTAGATCTGTCCCAATGTCATGGCAACTAGAACAAGAGCTTCAAAGAAGGACCAAAGGACCACTCTGCTGTTTGTGTTGTCATTGATTGCTCTGTGTATTCTCTCTTGAACTTCCATGTATTCCTGTTCATGCTTCACAGCTGTCATCGCCACTGCGAGCTCATTAATCATTTCTTCTAGCTTGTTCTGGTGAGCTTCTGTTTCCATATCTTGTCCTTTGGGGGCTTCCCCGATATCATTGGTGAACATCACTATCTTTGGAGTCATGGTAGACATCCTACTGCTAAAACAAAACTTGTGTGTTCCATCCATGTGAGCAGCAAATGTGTGCTTCCCACTGGACTCCCGGCCTCCTTTATAAATTCCTCTATTATCAGGTCCTGTAATCTCCACGTCGATGTCCAGGAAGCCGCCCTCGGCCACCGCGAAGATGAGGCCCATCTTGGTGCCCAAGGTGACCCGCTCAAACGAAGAAGCATCCTCTGCATGCGCGTCAATGCTGACCACGTAGCTCGTGGCCAGGAGGGCGGCCAGGAGCACCAGCAGCTCAGCAAAGCGTCACCACGGTGGGGCCGGGGCCGAAGCCAGGACCCGGACTGCGGCCTCCGGAGCCGCCGACGTCGCTGCCGCCGCCGCTCAAGATTAGACGTTCAACCTAAGAATTTCGAGGGGCCCATTCAGTCCACTGAAACTCCGTATATAATCATGCATTATGTACAAAAGAAATTAGAATACTAGAACTAGAGCAAGTAAAGGAATTTCCAATAACAAAAATCGCCAGCTGAAACATCTGGATGAAAAGTTTAAAACCTGGAGAAGGAAATGGCAACCCATTCCAGCATTCTCGCCTGGAGAATCCCATGGACAGAGGAGCCTGGTGGGCTACAGTCCATGGGGTCACAAAGAGTCGAACACAACTGAGTGACTTCACTTTCTTTCACTTTCCTGTGCTATACAGTAGGACCTTGTTATTTGTCCATCCTGTATATAATAGTTTGCCTCTGCCAACCCCAAACTCCCAGTCTATCCCTCTCCTTCCCCTTCCCCCTTGGCAACCCCAAAGTCTGATCTCTGTGTCCGTGAGTCTTAGAACAAGATGGCTTTGAGTGGACCATCCTGAGTAAGTTTTTCAGCCTGAGATTGAATGTGTCTGCCAGACTGGCCGGGCACATACAAAATCTGCCTGAAGATTTAAAGGTATGCAGGCCATGTGACAAGAGAGCAGCAAACTAAGGAGCATGAAAACTGAGGCGCATAATGGACTTTTCTCTCCAGCATGATTTCTGGCTCCTTTATACTCAGTTTTTATACTGAGCAAGTGTGCTTTCATTCTTTGAAACTTAGAGGCTTTTCTTAAGGATTGCTAAGGGATGCCCCCAAAATTATTATCATCACCACTGCTGAAGTTATAGTCACGGATTATAGTCAAATTTAATCTTTAACTTCACGGAACAGTCATCTTTTGCCTGATTTCTTTGATCGTTTTGTTTTTTATTTTTCAATGGCAGGAAAAAAATTGTTTTCTTTTTTTTTTTAATTAAAATAAATCTGTATTAGTGTGTGAACTATCTGAGAATGTCTAACTGACTGAAGTCTGGGAGTTCCCCTGGTTTAAAGACACACAGAATTTCAATTGTGTTTTCTTTTCTGAATTTGTCTTTCCTGTATCCTGAGATTATTTTTGAAATGTGTTTCAGGTCATCAAAAATATACTTCTAAAGCTTTGATCAAAATTTGCCAAGATTAGGACACATAAGAATCTATTAAGAGTTAACACAGGCTAGAATGAATACACATGGAGTGATTTTATTAGGAAAGTGAGCAGAGAGAAGTCTTCTTGGGATCAGTAAGAAGCTACATTGTATATTTAACAAAAATAAAAGGAGAAAGACTTCCCTGGTGGTCCAGTGGTTAAGGTTCCATACTTCCACTGTTGGAAGTGTGGGTTCGATCCTTAGTCAGGGAGCTTGGGTCCCACATGCTGTGTGGCATGGCCAATAAAATAAAACTTTAAGAAAGAGATACAAATGTGATCATATTAAAAATAAAAAAATAAAAGGAAACTTCTCTTAGAAGTATGTAGTGGTAATTTTTTAAAGCATTTATTTATCTGCGCTGGGTCTTAGTTGCAGCATGTGGGGTCTTTAGTTGTAGCATGGAAACTCTTAGTTGCTTTCTGTGGGATCGAGTTCCCTGACTGGAGGTTGAAACTGGACCCCTGCATTGGGAGCACTGAATCTTAGCCACTGGACCACCAAGGGAAATACCTGTAGTAGTAATTGTATGATGCCTTGTAAATAAATATTGGTTCACAAGGAAAAAAAAAAAGAAAAGTTAAAAACCACCCAAAGTTTAAAAAAAAGTTAAAAGTCTTTTAAAAAGTTAAGAAAGTTAAAAGGTAGACACCAGCCAGCCACCGCTTGGTGGCTGTTGGAGCATCGCAGTTGCGCCCTTGGAAAGGTGAGCCCCCAGACAACGTGCAGTTCTGCCTTTGTGCGGCAGAGGGCAGCAGAGGACCAGGCTCCTCCGCGCCAGCTCCAGGACTCGCGAGCAGGGCCGCTCAAACCACGCCCCCGTTTCAAGAGCGCAGTGCAGTGAGGAGCGGGGTCACGGTGAGGCCAGACTTCCATGACCGCAGAGAGCGGGCCTGCCGCCTGTCCTGCCTATATGCGTCAGACTACAGAGCCAGAGCCAGTGAGAGAAAGATCACCAAGCCCTGCTAAACGCTGTAGGTCTGGAAACTGTGACTATGAAGGCTCTTGGGAATAGGGGTTATGAAGATAAGTCTGCCCACAGCACTGCCTTCCTCCTACTTGAGAGTGGCGCCTTTATTTCTCTCTCAGCACACAAGGTCTCAGGTCTTTTTCCTTAGATGATCTCTGAAGGAGTTGAGAGTGTGCCACCCCAGAATATGCCTCTATAACAAGGATTGTTTTGAGCTGAAGACAACTGAGAAGAAACAGACTTGAGAAATAAAATCTCCGCCCTCCCTCTCCTTCTGCCAGGAAGTGCAGCACAATTCTTAATCACTGGAGACAATTCCAGATTCACCTCAGAGACAGCTCCAGGGGCAGCTACATAACAGACCACGTGAAAACAGCCCTCATCTTCCATTAGTTTCCCCTACGTATTCACCTGCCTACAATTTGCTGCACCAAATGCCACTTTCTGAAAGCGAAGGTGCCACTTTTCAGCTTTTCACATGTCTGGTTTTGCACCATCAGAGATTTGCCTGCAATGGATAACTCAGTGTTTTTGGAACTATTTAGATTGGATAGAAATCTGCCATTGCATTGCTACCTGTGTTTTCCTTGGCCCAGATTATCAAGTGTATGTCTGTTTAGCTATATTCAAACATCTACAACAAGACATTCTACAGCACACTCAGACTCAAGATCTGCTGGTTTTCCTAAAAGAAGCAGTGCTGCATGGGTCTCGAATGAGTGACTACTTTGGATACATGGAAATTTTGGAACAAAACTACCGACCAGTGTTGCTGAGAGTCAGGCAGAACATTAGAGGGTGAAGTACACAGACCATGGAACACTCAGTTTATTTTTATGTTTTATTTCTTTTTAAAGGAGACAAGGATTTGATTATCTTCTGTGTCCATAACAACATACGCTTTGTGAATACACAATATTATAGATCAGTACTGAGAGTTTTTGAATACAATAATATATTCAAGCAGGTATCAGCTCAGTTGAAGTGAATTCATTTTTGTCAGTTTGTTGTTGTGTAAGGTTGTTTTGGGCTTCCCTGGTGACAAATGGTGAAGAGTCTGCCTGCAATGCAGGAGACCCAGGTTCCATCCCTGGTCAGGGAGATCCCCTGGAGAAGGGAATGGCAACCCACTCCAGTATTCTGAATCCAGAATTCCATGGACAGAGGAGCCTGGCAGGCTTCACTCCATGGGTTTGCAAAGCGTTGGACGTGACTGAGCAACTAACACACAAGAAGCACAAATCCCTTTCCTTTATTTGTTGCTTCTCCACAAATTCACTGTTCTTTCGTTAAGGTGCTATTATGGGCCCGAGCTCTAACCCCTATCAGTTGCTCATCACTGAGTTTTCCCCTATGCGTACTCAGATGCACACAGGAACAAACTTCTGATTGTTTCTCTCCTGTTACTCTCTCTTTTGACTATCTAATTTGCAGCACCCCAGTCCATAAACCTAACATGGGTACAGGAAAAGTTCTTTTTTTCCTTTCTTGCATCTCCTTCCCATCCTTCGTGTCCCTCGGGCTAAACAAAGTCAATTATCATCACCATCTCTCTCTTAACTTTCCAGCCAAGAACTGGCGCCCCTGTAGGCACGTGGTTCCTGAACGGGCCTGGATAATCTGAGTGGAGGGTGCTGGGGCGGTATGGGGGGTCTCTATGGGGCTGTCTGTACATGCGGAGGGTAGGGCGGTGTCCACAAAACTGCCTGTTTCTCAACATTGAGTTCTTTTTTAATCCCTCTCTCATTTCATTCATTTTACTTTTAAAAGTTATTATTTTCTTTTAATTATACAAATAAGCACAAATACATCCCCAAAGCAAAAATATTAAATGACCCTTAGAGCTAACTCTTTCCCAGAACCTCTAAATCCCAATCTCTTCACAGAAATAACCATCACTGCCAATTTGGCTTGAATATTATAGACATGTTTCTATGCTTGGGTTTCACACATACTTATCAGAGAATATAGTTTGACTTTGTCATCACTGATCATTTTTACTTTACAGAAATGACATCAGATTATACCCATTGAACCGTGACTTTCCTTTTGTTCACTCAACAATAGATTTCCGATACTGTTCAAGCAACTTTAGAGACCCTTAGGTCTACCTCATACTCAGCATATGTTGTGTAACATTCCCTATATTTTCGCATTGTTCATTTAAGCACTCCCATAATGATGGATAAGTTCTCCCTTCAGCTCAGTTGGTAAAGAATCTACCTGCAATGCAAGAGACCCTAGTTCAATTCCTGGGTTGGGAAGATACCCTGGAGAAGGGAAAGGCTAACTGCTCCAGTATTCTGGCCTGGAAAATTCCATGGATGGTAAAGAGTCGGACATGACTGAGCAACTTTCACTTTCATGATGATGGATATTTAGATTATTTCTAATTTTTATTAATAATAATAATACAACAAATAGCCATGTATTTGTAAACATTTTGTTACAATAAATTCTAGGAAGTAAAATGGCTGGGCAAAAGATATACACAGTTAAAAGTTTTAACGTGGTTTTAAATCTTTCTCAATCTGACCTTGAGAATGATAAGCTCGGGGCAGCAGAAGTGGAGAAAAGTTCAAGAAGCTCAGATACAACAGGACTAGGACAACTCAGACTGCCATGATAGGCAGAGCCTGTTCCCATGAGGATGTCTGAAGTGAGCTATACAATGGATCTATAATGCCCTCATGGACAAAGGCTACTCACGCTGACTTGAGCGATCTAGGTATGGCCATGGAGTTCATTAAAGTAAAGCAGCTGTTTACCACTGACAGCAAAAAAAAAAAAAAAAACCTCACCTCCACTCTGGGATCCGTTTT